AGCATGTCATGGTTCTAATGTAATGCAATGTTCAATTTGTAAAATGTTTAAGCATGTCTGTGTACCTGGAAATTGGCTTAAAAGAAAGTGTATGTCTAGTTGCCAAGTTGACAAGGGGTGGATTGTGTTTGTAGATACCTTGTGTCAACTTGGCTGAATCAGCTCCAGCAGATCTCAGACTCGGGGCCTAGCCCTGCAGGTGGGCAGGGCCCAGGAATTGAGAAAGGCAGGAAGCTGCCCTGCCTGGTTTCCTGCTGCCCTGCCCTGCTTCCGTGGAGAAATCTCAGTCTTCCGAAGGCAGCCACGCCACTTTGGAGGAGCTCCGATCTTCACCATCTTCACCAGCGTGCGTAGAAAGAAGAGAGAGGCTTGATGGACGCCCCTGCAGCTGCTGCTCCTCCTCTGCTCTTCATTGTTTTCTGCCACATGAACTGCTGTTGTTTGCCTTGGAGCCATCGGAATATGGACTGAACCCTCCAATAACTGTGAGCTAAATAAACCTTTCCTTCCTTCATTTTGAGTGTTGGGTATCTGTCCCAGCAACGAGTAAAAAGTAACTAAGACACTCTTCAAAGCATAAACTTATCTAAGAATAAATTCAACCAAAGACAGACACAAAAAAACTTTGTGAAAGAAAAAAACAACTTTCTAAATGGATAGGATGAAATAACAGTATTAGGAAATGATTTTTTTAAAATACATATTAAAAAATTTATACATATACACACACTGCTTTTTGGGCACTGTTGAACTAAATGTCACAAAGATGACAACACCTCCCTGATACACACATGCGGCTCAACACCAAACATCCATCCAGCCTGCAAGTCATGAAGACAGCAGTTCTTCTCTAATGGATCTGCATAATCACAGCTGTTTTTATAAAAAGATTTACAGCATTAGATAGGCTGACTCAACTTCCATTCTAACACTCTGAGGACCAAATAGGCCAAGACTTCTATCCTGATACGGATGCCGAGGGAGAGCAAGGGGCCAAGCCCGCTGTACGAAGCCGGTGCACTCCAGCCCCAAGCAACTGCAAACGCTGTCTGAGGACAATGGTGGTAGTTGCCTTAAAGTGATCCCTGCCCAGAAAGCTTAATTTCAATACTAAGAATATTTAGAATACGTAACTGTGGGGAACCACCGGGCTGAGCCTGACATCTCGTACAAGTCCTGATGCGTACAGAGCTGGCAAGGATTTTTCACCCGGCTTCAAGCAATGCATTTTGGTCTAGCCGAGGTGCTGGTGGCAGTCTCTGAAGATGGCAGGTATGCTGCCCTGGACACCCCCAACACACACACACACCCCAAGGTTCCACACTGTTGGCTGGGATCAAGCCTTGTGATAGAGGCTACGACCTCCTGGGGCTTGAAAGATCGCACATCAGAGCTGAGCACCGAGCCCAAAACAACAGACGCTGTCTCAGTCGTGTACGCAGCTACTCTCTGCGCACCCTTCTCTGCATGTCACAGAGGTGACCTCAGGGCTCCGCCCTCGCCCAGCTCTGGCACTCACCTACTTCCTGCCGCTCTCACAGTCACTCCTCCTCAAGCTACCCGCTTCTTCATGAATGAATAAAACCTGGGATAGCCCTTGGGTCACAGCCTTTGTTCCGGACAGCCATCATCACGGCTGGACTTAGGGCCCCTGGGCTCCCCATAACTGCATATATGACTTAGTGTCTTTATTCTCACCATAGGTGTACTGGATGTGGTAGATTGGAATTAACTTAATGGACTCCAGTAACTTATCCATCGGATTACAAATATAAACTTCCCGGACAGAGATGAGGGCTAGGAAGGGCTCTCTATATATAAGATTTGAGAAAGCTTGAGGTCCAGTTCCTTATAAATTTAAAGCTATTGGTACCTATTTATCAAGTACCACATGCTAAGACAAGCCTGTAATGTATCATTATCTAGTCAATAACATCGTTTAAGGTGCTCATAATGGGACCATGACTCTGATGTCTCAATGCCAGGTGGCTCTGAACCACTGAAGGTACATGCATAGGGCGATGGCTTATCCCATCCAGCGGGGCTGCCCCATGCCACCCAATGGACAATCATGTGTCCACCAGCAAGAACACATTAATGGAGGTGTTCCTGTTTAACTCAGTAGCACTTCCATACTGCAACTTTAGAAATAACAAGTCAAATCTGGTCCTCGCAAATCCCACGGTCACATTAAAAGCTGTACTTGCAGAGGAGGAAAAGCTGTATTTGCACAAAGTAAGGTTTTATTTAAATAGTAATGGAGCACTCATCCTGGGATTCCACCCCTGAAGGTCCCCCACCCCTGAAGGAGTCAAAGATGGCGATGCTTTCAACTTAAGGGAAGACATGCCCAGGAGGGAGGGAGGGAGGAGAGAAAAGAGATGAGACAGGAAGAGACAGACAGGAGAAACTCTTCCCTCAGAGGTGAAGCTTCCCCTGTGCGCAGGGGGCCAAGGCAAGAGCTGCTGTGTCCACCCCGGCGCCAGGTGTGCCTGAACGCGGCAGCAGCAACCCAGTCTCACCTGAGTGGCCACGAGGTAGATCAGCTCCCCAAGGGCTGGCAGAAGGCACTGTTTCAATTTGCTGTTCCTGAAGTTCTCCCTGATTAACTCAGTTAAGACAGTAATTGCCTGGAAGAGGAAAACACACATCATTTCCAGTATCTCAGTTCTCTCACCTCTATGTTAAAAGCAAAATTAAACTTCACCTTCCAATTTTAAGAATTCATTTCCAAGCTATTTTCAAAGTATAGCCTTTATCCTGGAAGAAAAAACACCGAAAATCTCCTAGACCAAGGTAAGAACACATATACAGTGAAACAAATTCATATAGCACTTTTCAGGTTTCAGAGTCCTTCCACAGAGTGAGCAATCCCCTGAGGCCACTGTCGCCGGCCTTCAAAGCAGCAGCAGAGACTACCAGGACCCCGGCAACCTCCACCTGACCAGCTCAAGGGACACTGCGGCCCTGAGCACCAAGCGCAGGGTGCCACACCCTGGGGCCCGCTCCAGCCCACTGCGGGACCTTCTCAGCAAGTTAAGCTTCAATAGGATTCCTTCACAAGTCTGAGCAGAAACATTGTACCAACACTTCATCATGACCCATTTTTAAATGCAGCAGCTGATTTCCCAGGAGTGTGCTAAGAAAGGTGCGCGCGCGCACATACACACACACACACACACACACACACACACACACGGAATCCAGAGACACTGACATGAATACTGGTTAATCAAACAGTGAAGTAGGACAGACAGCCTCATGGCGACACTGCAGAAATGTGTGCGTGTAGCGCAGTGGCCTCTCCAGAGAGGGCCAGTAGGTACAGACCAAAGACAGGACCCCTGTCTCACAGGACAGCAGCCTCCCACTCAGAAAAGCGCTTGCCAACTGCCAGAGCAGCTCCTCTCCGGAGCCCTGCGCCAGCAAGCAGGGGTCTGCTGTCTGTCTGGCAGCACAGAGCACTGGGCCCCGGGCTTCACACTGAGCTACATACCCGGCCCTTTTTATTCCTTGAGACAAGGCCTCACTACGTTGACACACTGGGCTCAAACTTGTAATCCTCTGGACTCATCCATGGTGCTAGGTACGCAAACACCTCAAAAACTTTAAAAAAAAAAAAAAAGTTTTAAAACTCTCAGCTTTTTCCTATATAAAGAATTTTTTCTAATTTAAAAATGTTGGGTGTTGCTAAACCCATATTTACATTTCTGAGTTTTAACATACAATTCACAAACAAAATTGTATTATTAAGGAAAACTTTGGGAACAGCTGTACTCTGGCACAAGCTCCCAGGCACACAGCTGCAGGTCTCACTCTGCAAAGAGCAGCGGGGGTGAACTAGAGACGGATGTGGGGCAGTGAAAGGTAGCCACGTCTTGCGGGCATACTTGTTTTAAATTTTTTTTTTTTTTTTTTTTTTTTGAGAGGGGGGAATCAGGGATTGAACTCAGGCCCTTGCGCTTGCCAGGGAAGCGCTTATTCCACTGGGCCATCTCCCCGACCTCTACGGCACACTTGTTTTAAACAGCTTACTGAGTTGCACCCAGCGTACAATAAACTGTGCATGTGTCGTAAATACACAGTAAGGTTCTCTGCAGACGGTGAACTCCTCGCTTCGATCAGGAGCGCTGCCATCCCTCAGTGCCTCCTCAAGGCCCCTTTGTTGTGGCAAGCAGCCAGAGATGCTCACGGCTGCCGAGCAACAGAAGCAAAGAAGGTGTCACTGAGCACTGGGACATACCCCAACAGTCACCAGCCAGGAGTATCGACCCCAAGGTTAGAGAAAACAGCAATTTACATAGCAGCTGGTCCAGTTTCTAAACACAGCCTGGACTTCCCACAAAGGTGGAGCACAGGGGTTACCTAATACATGGTGACAACCACAGTCATGGGGTCGTTACAGCATTTGTCCAAAACAGCATTTATCAGAAACAGAAGCTGAGCCGCTGACAAACGGAAACTGCTTCACACACGGCCTGGGGAAGAAGGAGTTTGTCTGGAGTGTGAGGGTTTGCAGGGGAGTTTAGAATGCAGCGTCACCTTGCCGCCACACTACAGATCCCTCTAGTCCACTCTCTGCCAGCCATCGGTGATTTACTTTCTGTGATTAGGTCACTGTCACAGTCAGGGTTAGCAGTGGAATACATTTAATACAGGACACACGACTTACAGGAGTCTTTATATTTTACATTTGACCCAAAGAGTCGAATGTAAAAGACTGGGGGAGATTTGTCCACACACCAGAGACCCAAAGAACCCAGCTGAGGGCCTGGATCCCAAAGTAGTAACATCCTCCACGAGTCCAGCTGGAGGCCTGGAGCCCACAGCAGCGTCTCATGCAAGTCTCTATCAAGGATCTGGGCTGGGAAGGCCCCAAGGTCAGCGGTGGGCGCCATAACGTGAAGGACCTTCAGGCTGGGGGACCTACCCTGGACTGTGTGCGGCAGCAGCAGGAGGACCACAGCCGAGCTAGGGCACTCCTTTCCCTACCTGGGGCCACGTCAGCACCCGGGCCGTAACTAACACTGCGCCACATGTCCCCAGGGTGTTCCCGCTAGGGGAACTGGACGGAGCACACTGAGGAGCTCTCTGAATAATTCTTGCAACTATATAAGAAACTACAATCATCACAAAATTAAAAGAAGAGTCAACCTCATACTAAATTTGAAACCCAGATCTGGCTTTTCTGTTTCACAAAGTTAGCTGCAGGGATTTAAAGCATTTTTTCATGTTTAAATCCACTGGCATTTTCTGTCAGTAAGCATCACTGGACATTTGAAACATTTTAATGCTGCAGACCTTAACGTGATACAACTGTCTGGACTGCCTCCAGCAGAACAGAAACTGCTCGGACTCGCTCGGGGCCTGCAAACGGCCGCGTCGCCCAGCTCAGCCTGCAGTGCCCGAGCCTCGCACCTACCTGCAGGGGTTGACTTGAGAGTGCTCACACGGGCCCAACTGATGACGGCTCTTTGAAATAGTTATTTATACAGATATTCGATCTATCCTTAAAATTCAAAGATTATTAAGGAAAACGAAGAATACTGAGCAAATGTAATACATAAAGGGCAAATATCGAGGAGAAAATCATGTGTTGATGTAAATATAATGGCATTGGAAAACGCCATACTAAACAGAATAAGGCAAAACAGATTTAGTTCTTCAAACTCAGAAGGCCATGTGACTGACTGTTCTTACGTTTGTTTTCCTGACATCTCTGACAATCTACTACCTTCAAACCTTGAATTACAAAATCAAAATAAGATAGGTGTTTGGTGGTGTGCTACTATCCTGTGTGCTCTCTAAAGCTCTGAGGCTAAGCAAGACGACCTGGGGAAGTCTTCTTCTCACATGGCTAGCCCGAGACGCAGCCATACCAGCCCGGCCCTACGAACCCAACGGGACTGTGCTGCAGCCACAGCATGGCTGGCTGGTGAGCACTCAAACAGTCATGAAGACTGCACTGCTGGCTCTCTTGGGGAGCTCTTGTCCCCAACTTGAGCCTCGCTTCCTGGCTCCAGCCCAGATCCCCCAGCCTGCTGGCCGCGATCCTTCGTCCCGCTGGCACAGACTTCCTAGCTTCCGCCACTGACCCTGGGCCTTCCCAGCACAGATCCGTGAAGCGGAGCTGCGTGAGACTTTGTCGTGGGCTCTGGGCCTCCAGCTGGACTTGTGAAGGCGTTGTTTCGAGCTCTTGGTGTTCAGCTGGACTCATGCAGGATATTAGGATCCAGACCCTCAGCTGGAGTCTTTGGTTTTTAGTGTATGAACAAATTTCCTGCACTCCTTGTATATGATCCTTCGGGTGGTTCCTATGAAATATTATAAAATGTGTCCTGTGTCGCAGTTTCCCTTGCAAAACCCCAAACCACAACAAACAGTTTTGAGCTTTCCGGCTGTTCCTTGTGAAGACACAGCAGTCGTGAGAGCACACCAACAACAGAGTATTTTAGGTCTTATACTGCCCAGCAGGGCTCCCTCAGCCTGAAATAACAAGTAGCCCTCAAGGCCAGATGAAGAGGGACTTGCCAGGCCTTTTCGTTCTTACACCATGGCGTTGTTCTAAGCAAAGCTATGGCACAAAGTAACACTGTAAGCCACGTGAGCCCCCATTTTTCCATCCAAATTCTACTTTAGTTGTATTAAATCTTGGATTCCTTTGGGCGCTGCATATCTGATTAAATCTTGACTTGTGAAATCACACCTACAGGACACAGGTTTCACCAGTGTCGGTCACAAGGACAGGCACACCCGACAGACAAGGTCAATGGTGCGGGGGCAGAAAGATGATAAAATGCTTGCAGACATTAGTTCTGAAAATGTCCTTGCAAGGGTGTCTCTAAGAAGCTTTCTGGTGACATCTGGACTTCAAAGTGTCCACATGAGCTCCAAGTCTCCGCACGCTAATGGGCAAGTACGTTTGGCTCTGCTCTGGGGCTGGTGCCTAGCCCCTAACATCAGATAGCAGCAAGGACTGTGTCTGGCACTTCCTGGCTGAGCCCAAGTGGACACAACGCAACTGGTAGCTTCCTTCCCTCAAAACTACACTGTCAGAAAGGTACATCCAACACAAGAGCAGATTGCCAGATCACCTTCATACTACCTTTAAAAGCTCAGACACACTAGATACACCATCAACGCCTTTTGCCTTTTAAAAAATTAGATGGTGACAAAGATCAACTCCAAAAGAAGCCCTGTCACCAGCCGCCCAGGCCCTCTTCTTAGCATCTTTCAGTATCCTGCTGGGGCATATGCGACAGCTTTCCCTCTCCGAACACAGCACCCAACACCACAATGTAAAGGAGGAGAGGCTCAGTCCCAGGGGTTCAGTCCATGGTGGGCTGGCTCTGAGGCAGGAGCATCGTGGCAGAGGGTGAGGCAGGGAGATGCTTAGCTGCTGGCCGCTGTATGCAGAGCCGGGGAGCGGTGCCGGAAGAGGACCAGGGAAGGGACACGTCGTGCCCAAGGCTGCATCCCCAAGACACACCCATGAGCCTGATAGCTGTTTCTTACTCCAAGGAAGCCGACCTACCAGGTTGGCAGTCACAATTCACCCTTGCCAACTCCAGGCAAAAACACAACTCCCTAAACCATACTTAAATCTCTGAATAAAGACACCAGCAAGTTC